CCCAACATAAAACAAAAGGAAGAAAAGGAGGAAGGAAAAGGTGATTTGGGAAGAGCAATCATGTCGGGGCGGCCGAGAACCACCTCCTTTGCGGAGAGCTGCAAGCCAGTGCAGCAGCCTTCAGCTTTTGGCAGCATGAAAGTTAGCAGTGAGTATCGATTTTATTTTATACTCCTCCACCTACCCCTTAGAATAAGAAACTGCGAAATTCCCAGGGTCTTTAATTTTAGACCTCCTGAGACAACGATCAGAGGTAATAAAAAAGGGCAAAACCTGTCTGTCTTCAGTCAAAAATGAGGCAGCTCCCTCTTCTTCCATGCCACCTCGTCCTGCCTCATTAACCTTGAATTGAGAGAATATAATTTGGATCAATCGACTTGAAACTTGTTACACTTTTTCTGCTGTTGATAGTCAGCCTTATGAAATGCTGGAGTGTTTGCACGTTAAAAGTCTTATGTTTGGTTATCTATCCATGTGAATAGAGAGGACGAGTTTTGATTTATAAGCCATTATGTACATTTGCAGGGTACGTGTTTTCTGATACAAGGAAGGATATTTCAGTTAGCTTGAGTGTCAGGACTTGCCAATAGTTCTGGATACTTAATAGAAACATTAAATGTTCCAGCCTCCTTTGGGAGGCGGGTCCTGTGTGATGATACAAAATATTTGTTCTTAATCTGGGAAGGAACTTAGTGCTTGGGATTCACGTTTGGAGGAAGTATTGATCCTTTTAGTAGGTGCTAGTGTGAACCGATAAAATATTCAGCAGCAGTTGCATCGCTAAATGCATTGTCTTCAGTTGAATAAGTGGTTTGTTGTGTTATCTTCTGATCTTTCTGTTCTGACATTACCTACCAATCTGCCACCATATAATTTGTTTAATCAAAAGGTAACTTGGAAGTAGGTCCAGGTTTTGATTGAGGTTTGTATTGTCATAGTGCCAAATACTAAGTTAAATGTTAATTGTCACTGACTCACTGTCATTTAAATGTAGTTTGGAAGTACCATTGCCTTCATTATTTTGTTAAATGTTCAGGAGTAGAGTGTTGCGATTCTTTTCAAATACAATTTAAAATACTGTAACGTTAGTTTGCATCTCATTTGGCTAATAGAATGGATACAGTTATACGAACATGGATTTAGGTTTTTCCAAATTAGTGTTTACAAAAGAATTTAATAAGGTTTTTTTGGTTTGTGTTGGGCAGTGTTTACTAATATTTAGGGTTATGTTTATCTGTACTGTACTCTTGCTCTGGATTTGTCCAGAAAAGTCTGTGTTCTTGAAAGTGTTTGGTATACTAAGTGTCTAGTATTTTTTTTTTTTGTCTAGTGTTATAATGTATCTATTTGTGGAGATGTTTATGTGCTGTTTAATGACAGTTTATTTGTCTCTATGGTCTCCCTTATTTTCTACGAAAGGGGTATGATAAGGACAAGTTAAACTATTCTGTTTAAAAGAACTGAGAAAACTGAAGAACTGAGATTTAAAAGGAAAATTTAAAAATCCAAATGTATGTTATGTGAAATTGATTTATATATATTTCAGTAAGGTAAAAATGATTACTTTTAATTGAGCTAAAGATTTCAGTTCATAGTAGCTTTTAAAACTTGCCTGAAATAGGATAGCCTCTAGCCATCAGGTAATAGCTGAACGGGAGGTTATTTTTTAAAGTTAATTTTTTCCCTCAGTGACCAGCTAGTGCACGATGCAGGGTGTGTGATCACACTTTCTAAGCACTTCATGGGGTCGTTTGAAACGATTTTTTTAAAATTCTGGGGTGATTTTCAACTATGATGAAGCAGATCTTGTAATAGCTACTTAAGAGCCTCTTGTACTGGAGTGTTTGTATACTTTACATCTTGGCAATAATAGCTTATTAAAGAGCACTCAAAATCAATTTTAGGCAGTTCATTTATTAGATTCATTTGAAAGATTTCTATGGCTAGATTATAATGCTAAATTTTGGCAGTTTTCATTTTGTTTCAAGTATTTTTCTTAGAAAATGACTCCTTAGTTCTTGACAGATGTTGAACAAGGATGCAGTAACTCTTAAATGTGGAAGTTGAAAGTTTTAATTTTATATTATTGTACAGATCAATTTAACACATAAAGTGTTATTTAATGTTCACTATGGTTTTGACAATCTTAACTTTTAAGTAGACTTAGAGAAATGGGAGCCCGTAAGCATGTGTGTTAAGGTAGTAGTGTTCTAAGAGATCCTTGTTCAAAACAAAGATATATAAGAAATTGTAACTTTTGGCATTAAAAGCCTGTTTATTGTAAAGGCAGGTTATGAGAAAAAATAGGAAACATTAGTATGGTGGTTGTATAATTATAAAATACAAATTGAATCCTTTGTTCAGAGGAGCAGAGAATAAAGATGAGAAGGTTGGAGAAGGAAGATTTCAGCAGAGAAGGTCTGTTTTGAGGCTGTAACTGAGCTGATAGAGAAGCATGAAGGACTTTAGGTAGATAGAATGTCCAAAAACCCTGAGATGGGGAATTCTGAGAGAGGCAGCAGGAGAATTGATAAGTCTGAATTAAAGGGGCCTTAATAGGAAAATAGAAGAAATGGAATTGAGGAATATGGGAAGGTTGCTTAATAAGAGCAAAGGGGTCTTGTAAGTTTGATTGAAATTCAAGAGAGATCTGGGCTTACTATAAATTGCTGAATGAGATCTTTGAAGATGATTTAGACAGCTAAATTGATGAATTTGAGTAGAAAAACATTACATGCTTTTTTTAGGGAAATAGTAGGATTTGTTGTGAATCATGAGTAAAATAAAATGTAAACATAGGATGAAAGAACACAATTGAGAGTGTGATTGGAGAACTGGCAGGACTTTGGATTGGTTTGAAGGGGAACATTTGTGAAGGAGTCAGGAGTTAAAAATAAATTGTGAGGTTATTGGTCTGGAAGACTTGACTGCTGAGTTAATTGTAATGGGAATTGAGAAATAATGTTAATTGTAATGGGAAAATTGAGAAAGTGTTCAATGAGAGGGTAGGTGAGTTCACTTTTAAAAATTTCTTCTACAGTGAGTTCCCTTAAAATTTAGCAGATAGCAGTTATTTGGTGACAATAGTCCTTAACATTCTGTCCATTAATTGCAGTTTCTAATTTTTCTGCACTTAAAAATGAAAGGTTTGAGGCCGGGGAGTTAGCTTAGTAGAATAAGTGCTTGCCTGACAAGCGCAAGGGCCTGAGTTCAATCCCCGGTTCTGCAAAAAAAAAAAAAAAAAAAAAAAAAGGTTTATGTTTAGGTGCAATAAGCTAAAGCAATTCATTTAAATGTTCTTTATTAGAATACTAAAAAAAAATTAATGTAAATTTAAAAGCCTCAATCTAATTCAGTATTTTCTTGCCAATTCATTTGAAACTAATGAAAATACTAAATTATGACTTAAACATTTTAGATTTTTGTATGATACTGAGGATTAAATTGAGGGCCTTTTTTACTGAGCTACGTAGCTAACCTTTTATAAGAGTTATCTTTATAACAAGTAAAAGTAATTTTGACTAATTTGTGGAATTAAGACATTTAGCACAAGTCTAAATCAGACTATTCTTACTATGATGAAATCAACCCTTTGTTCACATCTGGGCCAGTGTGTTATTTAATAAACATTAATATCTATGCTCTTCATTCTTTGGAATCAAATTACTGTATATTTAACTCACAGTTGAGCAAGTAAGGGACTGCCTGTGGCCATTTTGAATTTAGTAGTAATAAATCCTTATGGTATACTGTGGGAGAAAATTTAATTCTCTAGGTTCAGTGCTTAAATATAAGAAGTGGAAAGAGGAAAATAAGCCAATAAATATCATTTAAATTGTTTCTTCATATAAATCTTTTTCGATCAAAATTTTTACTAGCTAACAGAATAGTGAGTGATACACATGGTTCTGTTATATTGAGTTGTGTGATTGTAAGAAAAAAAGGATAGATAACAAGTTAGAGTTTCTGTTCTCTAGAAAGCTTAATCCTCCTGTGACATCTAAAAAACTAGGTAGAAAGTAGTCAACTTTCTGATTATTCTATCTAACATGGGATAAGTGTGAGACGGAAAAGTAGAATCTCATTTTCATTCCTTTCCCAACTAGACTTAGCCTGGGACTATGCACATGCCAGGCAGGTATTTATGCCACTGAACTGTCTCCCTGGCCCCTTTGTTAACATTTTTAATGAAAGAATTACATGCTGTTTATGAAATGACAGTAAGACTCAGGTACTCAGAAGAAACTTCAAAGAAATCCATATTCCCAAGTTAATTTATGGCTGATTGAGATCTGCATGTAGAAAATAAAATGACATCAGATTTCACTTGCCTGTCAGCCTATACTTAGATTCTGCTCTCTTTCTTGTATTTGAGTTGTAGGTGTGGCATATTCTTTTGGGTAAATAGCAAGACTGGGAAAGCCAAAGATTTTCGAAGTATCATTGCAGATTAGGTTCTAAGACAGGAATTCTAAGACAAGTTATTTTTGTGTGAACTTTATGCATCATGTACATGCTGACTGTCACAGCTCCATCCTTCTAAACAGGATTGAGATTGTGAGACAGGGACGGGATTGGGCTGAATGTAAGACTGGTGCCTTTTGTGATATTTCACTCTAGAAAGGAGAATGGAGAGCCAAAGCTCATGGGTATGACAGTGAGTGCTGGTACTAACCTGCTTACCTGGAGCCTATTCTACTAAGAACATAACCACTACAAGTATATGAATTTGCTGGAATATTAAGCATTATGTTTTAGCTGATCTCTGGGGATGTGTTTAGGGTGGTGGTGGAGGTAGGAGAATGTTGCAACCATTCAAGAATAAAAACATTTTCATGGTTGAAGTAGCAGTTGCTGTCTTTGTTATTGTCTTTGGTTATATACTTTCTTAATTACACAAACTTGGAAATTTATTGAATGTGATGTAGGGATGTGCTGGATATTATGTGTGAATGCGTGTGTGTAAACCTGACAATAAAGGAGGTTAATTTAATTGTTTTCCTAAATGGTTTCTGCCGTTAAACTTAGAAGATAATACTTAATTCTAGTATTTATTAGTGATCTTTTAAGTTTTTAAAAAAAAACTTAGCATATAATGAGCATTCAGTAAATTATTCCAATATATGCTTGTGTCTGTAATGCACTTAC